CTGGGGTTCTGTGAACCTCCAGCCCCCTCCTCTCAGCAGCCCCCAAACCCTTTCCCTGGAGARCAGCCTCCAGCAGTGGCACTCAGGGATTCCCAGCAGCACCTCAARCCTTCCCTTCCTCTGCTAACACAAACAAGCTGCTTTGCTCTCAGTTCAGCTCTTTTCCCTGCTGGCTGTGGTCAATAGCACTAAATATCCAGTAATTATCTCTGYTTGCAACTCAAATAAACGTTTTCTCAAGGAAGGAGGATCAAGCCAGATGAGGCTGATCCCCCGACTCCCAGCTCTGAGAATGAGGATTTGATTTGGGCTGAAGGCTGGCAGTTGAGCAGGAGCCCAGGCAGGGAGRGCAGTGCTAGGTGGGGATGGATGTGCCAGGAAGACAGGAGGATGGGAATGGGTGGGAAATGGCATTTGGCCAGGACAGCAGGGTGCTGAGAAAGAAAGCACCTCCAGCAGCAAACTGCATCTGCACRAGGGGCTTTCCTCTTGGAGGGCTTTAATCCTCAGCTGGCTGCAAATCCTAGGCCAGCTTCACACCCCTCTTAAATAGAATCTGATCTTCTTTTAAAATGGGCCATGCCCAAGACTTTCCTTCAGGGTCACCCGAGACCACACTCCAGCTCTGATTGCATTTCATCCTCCCCTACACCTCTGTAAGTGCGAGGGGTGGGAGGGTGGAATGCCCTGTACACTGGGAAGCAATCAGACCTCTAAGCAGTTCCAAACCCACACAGCAGCTTCCCTGATAAGCCCTGAAGTCTGAGAGATGGAAGAGGAATCAGGATTTCTTACATTTTTCTTATRTTTTGTGCTCCTTAAAGAGGCAGAGGAGAAACCAGAACAGCCTGTGATCGGGGCTGGGAAGCCAGGCAGTGAGCTCGCACACAAATTAGCTGCTTTTTACATTGCTCCCTTTCAGCATATTCAGTTCTGCACAACCCCATCCTGGAAGCAGCTGGGGCCAGCCCCAGATGTGCTTTAAGAAAAAAAAAATTCAAAAAAAGCAAGGAAGATTGTTGGTGTGTCAATCTCTCCTAGCAGGAAGCATCAGCCGAGAGCTGTGAAGTTGTCAGCTCAATTATCCTGCTTTTGATTGTTTAAAAAGCATCTGAACTTCTGGGATCCGTTCCAAACCCTTTAAGGTTCTCCCATGGCTCAGAGCAGCAATCTCTCCTGCCTCTGCCTCTGAAGAGGGGACGTCAGTGAGATGGAGCTGAGCTCAAGGAGAGGCACGTCCCAGGCTGTGCCGGGTTTCTGGCCCTGCAGGGGTGAGCCTCCCGTACCTGGTGGAGCACGAGTGGTCCCGCAGCAGCTCCAGCACCTTCCCGGTGTTGCTGACGGCCCCGCCCATCAGCAGGAAGAGCAGCCGGGGATGGCCCCTGTGGATGGGCTGGCGGATGAGCCACTTCAGCGGGGATAAGAGGTTGGTGCTGCCCATATCAGCCCGGATCCTCCTGATGCTCCGGCAGGCGATGGTCAGGCTCTCCTGCCCAAAGGAGAGGGGGAATCGTCAGCACCAGCACCCTCCGAGCACCAACGAGCACCACAGGAGAGGCAGAGGGAGATGAGCTTGTTCACCCTGGAGAAGGGAAGGCTCTGGGGAGACTTTAAAGCCCCTTCCAGTGCCTAAAGGGGCTCCAAGAGAGCTGGAGAAGGACTTTGGGTAAGGGCCTGGAGTGACAGGATAAAGGGGAATGGCTTTAAGCTGAAAAAGGGCTTGGATTAGGTTTTAGAAGGAAATCATTTACTATAAGGCTGGTGAAGTTCTGGTCTTAGGCTGCCCAGGGAAGCTGTGGCTGCCCCATCCCTGGACATGCCCATGGCCAGGCTGGACCAGACTTGGGGCACCCGAGGGTAGTGGAAGGTATCCCTGTCCGTGGCAAGTAAGACCCCTCCCAACACAAACCAGTCTGTGACTCGATGGACTGGTGGCTCACCCACCTCACCATAGGCCTGACTGGCAGGAAAGAGGGTCTTGAAGGTGGATCCAAACCCAATGACATTGAAGAGACACGATGGCATCAGGCTCTTGAGAATGACCAACAGGGCATCCTGAGGGGTGGAAAGCAAATAGACATCAGCACATTTGGACTCTCCCTGGCTGCCCCAAGTGCACCAGTCAAAGCTCTGCCCAGAGCCATCCTGCCTTATTCCCACTTYCATTTGACAACAAACCAGCTGCTTCTTTCCCAGACTTCCATATGACCCTGCTCTCTTTAAAGTCTCTTGATAATATTTGGGACCCGAAGCAGTGAGGAAAATGGGGAGTCTTTGATTAAAAAAAAAAAAAGACAACAAAGAGCTGAACAAATTTTTCTGTTTGTTTTTAAGGGATTCAATTTGTGCTGGCAACACAGTGCTGCAGCACAGAGCTGGTGGGTGAGAAGCAGAGTGTGAAATTGAGAAGTGCGACACGCAATGCATCTCAATGCCTAAACTTGCAGAAAATAAACAAACAGCTTAAAGTTACACAAAAGGAGAAGCTTCCCCCATCCCCAATTCTCTTGTATTCATAGCTGGCTTCAATTAAAATAACTGGGAGACGACAGTTTTAAGCTATTTTCTTTACCAGAGGTGGTTATCTAACGYGCCTATTCTTGGGCTTTACATAAGGCAAGAGCAACTTGAATTGTCACAGTGATGTCGTGGACAAGTCCAGGACAGAGCTTGTGATTGCAGCACCTGGGCAAGAGCTGCCCAAGGAGCTCTTGAGCTTGTGGAAGCACTTATGTGGCAGGAGCTGAGGAGGCCAATTTACAGCAGAGTGTTTATTTAAAGCAAAATGTAAAGCAGAGTGTTCGGGAGCAGCTCAGTTCTATTTAAATGCTGATCAAGGCAGACTCCTGCCAGTCTGCCGAGGGCAGCAGAAACCCTCGAGCCAGCCCCTGGAGGAGCTGCCAAGGTCAAACGAGCAAGGACAGCTTCCCTGAGTTGTCCTACCAGTGGCAAAGACCGAGTGACCGCAGACAGACACAGCGAACCCTCAGCCTGGGACCAGCAGGGATGTGGTGCCCAGTCAATCCAGCTCCCAAAGCCTGTAAGACTCAGCAAAACACAGAGCTGGAGCACTGAAAATCAGTGCAATAATGTAAAAGAACAGGGCTGCCCTTTAACTGGCTCCGGAGAGCTCAAATCCAAGCTGTTATCTCAAACCTACGAGGATATATTTATACCACTGCTCCCAGATGGCTCCTGGGATGCTGGCTCTTCCAGATCTCTGTGCTGACATCCCATCTTGGAACTCATTACAAGGAAAAAAATACAAATTTCCAAATATTTCTCTTAAAGCATTTCCCAAAATGGGCAACCGATGCCTGCTTGCTGTTTCAGCAAGCAGAAAGATTTATTGCTTCTTATGGTAAATATTGATCTTGATCCTGTTGCACTCAATAGCTATATGGCAACTCAATAAGGAGGGATGTTTGCTTCCAGAAAAGTCAATTCCCAGTTATTAGTGTAGTTTTGCCAGCAAGCACCATCATAGGCTGGCTCTTCTCCCTGGCTGCATCAGGGTGGGAAAGGAATTGGCTGCAGGACATTTAAATCCCTGAATTTTCCATTCCAGCTGCTTTGGAYGGGTGCCCTCCTGCTTTGCACAGTCCCTTCCATCCTGTCCCTGAGCACATCCTGAAGCTGCACAGCTCTGAGCCCGCCATGCCATGCATCCAGCCAGCTGAGGATGATGCAGAAGGTTCCATCAAGCAAAACCCACCCAAACCCTCTCAGAACAGCCCCTGCTKCGAGTTTCCTGGTGTCTGCTAGTGACAGACAAGGATGGGACACTCAAAAGAGGGGCAGTGGGTTTCTCCCTTGAGGTATGTCCTCCAAAATCTCCTCTATCTCSCTCAAAACATTTTTTCCTGCAGGGAAGCAGCCATTTTCCTGTTTCTACAGCCCTCCTGCAATGGGGGCTCCATTTCAGGACCTCTCAGAGAAGGGTTCTGATCCTGCAGGTCAGGATCCCCATCCTCAGGGCACAATTCTGCCTCCACAGAGGCTGCAGAGACTCTGGTGCCCAAACCCAGCCATGCTCTGAGTTGGAAAGCAAAAAATCCAGCCTGAGACAAGATCCCCAGTCTCCTAAAGGTGCTGGGGGAAGGAGGTACAACCCCAGAGATATCCTGTTCCCCTATTGCAGAGGATGTGCTGCAGCCCYAGCATCCCAATTCTTGCTGCTGGAGGTGCCTGTCCTTCGGCAGTTCCCATGGAAACTGGAGACAGATGGGAAAAGAGATGTGCTGCAAGATGGACAAGCTCGGGCAGTGGGTCCATGGGAACCTCATGAGGTTCAACAGAGCCAAGTGCAGGGTCCTGCAGTGGGGTTGGCCCTGGATAAGAGGCACATCTGAGGGGGAACCTCAGACCCACACAATACCCTGACAATGCCATTTTTTATCCACAGGTCTCAACACAACTCCCATAACCATCCCCCAGGCTGCTGGTGTTCWTCTGTGCTTGAAACAGGGATGTCTCATGTTGAAATCATTTTGTGGGTGCACACAGGTGCCCATCAGCAAAACCCCTCCTAATGCACAGCCAGCACATCTTTCCCTTGGAGCTCCCTGGAAGTTTCCCCCCAGGCAGCCATCACCCCAAGCCCTCCTGGACACAGGAGAACTGGAAAAGGGATGCACAAAACCTGCAAGCAAAAGAGGGGAAAAAAAAATATTGCATTTGATGCACTGATGGGAAGAAGGGGAAAAGAATGGGGGAGGGTCACCTTCACTGTAGGTACTGAAYAAGCCCCAAGGTTGAGATAATTACTCCTATGCCCTGATAACGAACACTCATCAGCTCTCAGCACCCCCACCACTTTCTCTCCTTCATCCCTGTTGACAGGCAGGTGCTTCCCTCCCGTGGGTACCTTGGCACGGTCCATGTTCACATCACTCATGCTCCTGCTGCGGTCTACCAGGAAGATAAACTCTCCCTGGGCTTTCCGGAGGCCTGGCTGGACAGTCCTCAAGTCAGGGCAGAAGTTGAGCATGATGACAGGGTGGTGGGGGATGTCTTTGTTCAGCCGCTTCCTGATGATTTCCATCTGAAAAAAAGCAGGATAGAGCTGGAGAGGTTGATTTTTTCACCCCATTTCACTTCGAGGGAAATCAGAGCAGGGCTATAAATGTCAGTGAGTGGCCTTTCGTGGCCAGAATCTGCTTGTTCTGGCCTCAGAGGTGACAGCACCAGGGTGCACCCAATGTCCCTGTGTTCTGTTCTGTCCCCACAGAATTCCCCATCCCTGGYAGTGTCCMAGGCCAAGTTGGATGGGGCTTGGAGCAACTTGGGCTAGTGGAAGGTGTCCCTGCCATGGCAGGGGGYGGGACGAGATGAGCTCTAAGGTCCTTTCCACCAAACCATTCTGGGATTAGACAGAGCAACTGCACACTCAGAGAAAAGMCTGGAAAAATCAAAAGACCTGGCCCTACACAGTACCTCACAAAACTGATTCTCCAAACATTTCATTAGATCCTTCCCGAAAACCTGGTTCATAAGCAAAGCTTAGCATCCTACCGAGGCACACCAGAGGTTTTCACCGTGGTCACTCACTAATGAAGTGTGAGATGCAGCCCTTGATGTGCTGCATTYGCCGCTCCAATTCATTCCTGCCACCTCGGGTTTGCTGCTTTTTCTGCCCRTTTCTTTTATCACTTCTCTTTGTAGGGATTGAAAGGCTTTGGAAAGCTGAACCGGCCGCTCCGGCCGCCGTTCGATAGGAGCCTGCATGATCTGTCTCTGCATTGCACACAGCTCGAATGGCTCTCCGCATTTTCTCTCCTTCTATTTCAAGTATTCATTACAAAAGGGATAAAATTAAACTGGTAAAAAACCTCTCATGATGGGTCTGTAATGTGCTGTTATGTGTGTATAGAGCAGTAACGGATTCATGGCCTCAGCTGCTTTGGAGACAGCTTCAGGACCCCACATCAGCCCGGCCATGGCCTTTCATCCCTGGCTCTGAGTGAGTGAACACCTCCATAACAGCAGCTCCATCCTCAGGGGCTTTGTTTGCCTTTTTTCTCCTCTTTCTGGCTGCTTTTYCCGTTGGTTCCACCGGGAGTAAACCAGACTTTAGATAACCGGGTTTGTTTTCTCTGGCCATGAGTCACGTTCCTCAGTCTATGAGCTGATGACCAACCTTTGTTTTCTATAACTCATCAATTCCCTCACACACACGAGCTCTGCTTGCAGCTCCTCTGCCCCAGTGCTGCTTCTCTGACCCAGTGAAAAGACAGGTCCCACTCACAGGAACAAGCCAAACTCCCACTCATCCTCCTGCCTTTCCCTACCATGCTATGGGGTATAAACTAACCAGCTGCTGAAAAATTAAAGAAATTAAAGGGCTTTTTCCATTTACCTCCAGCTATATGACATTATTTGATTTAACAACTTTTCCAGTTTATCACATTTCAGACTAGAGTTTTCTCACTGCCTCTGTACAAAGACTGAATTGTAGCCCTGACCCACCCACAGAACTGCCTGGAATGCTCTTGGGTATCCATGACAAAAATTTCCTATGTGATTAGGATAAGCCCATATTTTGGGATTTCTCACTGACTCTGGAGGGAATTTTACAGGCAAACCTCTGGTAAACAGCTTCAGGGGTGCTGCTACAGGTCAGCCAGAAAAGAAAACATTTCCTCACCTCCCTTCCGTTCCCCTTCACCCATTACCCAATTACGGTAAACTAATCAGATTTTGTYGAGGACAGTTGATTCCAGTGTGCATCCATCCCCACCAACCTGCAGCTGACAGCATCCAAGCCTTTTGCATAACAAACTGAGGGAGGAGAATTAATTATCATTYACTGCTGAAACTTCTGGGCTAATTTAATTTAAGCCGAGAAGTGGCCAGTGTCCTGCTCTGAGCAGCAGCAATTCCAGCCCATCATCTACCCCAGATATTCCAGGCATTTTCTCTGCTCCCTGCAGCTGTTTCCCAGTCCTCCTGGGGCACAGGTGGCTTTTCTGCAGGGAAATGTCTCCAGAATGATCTCCCCTTAGATAATTTGACATGCTAAAGACGCAGAAATAACGAGGGAGCCATCCAAGGCGTAGCGTGGGAGTTTCATCTCGTTGCACCTGCCACACGCTGAACACAATTAGAGGAGACGCCTGCGGAGACCCAGCCCTGCGACAGAGAGCCGCGGGCAAAGGGAAGGAAGGAGGGGAGGGTTAACAGGGCTGTGGTGAAAGCAGAAACCTCAGCAGCACAGGGAGGCACCCCTGCAGCAGGTTTGGGATGTCAGGGATCACACACGTGGAGAAGAAGTTCAGGGGAAATGAGCAACACTGGGCACACAGGAGAGCCCCGGCTGTGTAAAACAGAGGCTGACACCATCAGCCCCGGCTGTGGCCACACAACCATGACCTGTCCCTTAGGGGAAGATGCCCACCCTGGAAATGTGGAGGGCTCGGAGCTGTCCGCTCCTCTCTGCTGATCCCAGCCATGCCAGAGTGCTGGGCTGTCACTCATTCCTTCAGAAGTGCACAAATCCCAGCACAGATATTTTCCTCTTTGCTGCTCAGCAGAACAAAGAGAAGTCTCTCCTACCTTGTCTTCAGTTCAGCTCATTATTCCAGGGAAAATCACTTAGTTGTCTCTGACAGCTACCCAGAAACAGTAAACATTTACRGAGCAATTAAAAGAATATTTTATTCTATGTCATTGCAATAATTATAATACCCTTAATACTATCACAATGCACCTCTCTAATTATGCTATGCTAGACTAGCACTAATTATACACACAATAACCATCTCAGAGCTCCTTCCACTCTCAGTTTATCAGCAGCACTGCTGAATTTTCCCCTCTTCCTCCACACAAGCCCCTCTCTGAGGGAGGATGCTGCAGGTCTCATTGGGAAAGGATAATATCTGAGGCTGGAAACAAGGAATCATCTATTAGCTCAGCTCCAGTCCATGAAAAGCCTYGGCTAACACCTGCAGCTTGTGTTTCTCACCTTTTTCTTGGCACTGGGGTCTTTCTTAGTGCCTTTAATGAAATCGTTCTTGCCCTTCAGGTGCCGTTCGTACTCTGCGGGGGTCATGTCACCCTCTTCCATTAAGACGTGGGGCATGTGAGGCTCTGGAAACACAGAGAATTGTGTGAACAACAGCCTTGGCTACATCTTGGATCTGGCAGAGATGCAGGCTGGGAAAACAGMAGTACCTGTGAGCTTGGGGAGCTCAGAAAACCCTGAAAGGAGCCAGCATTGCCTCCCGGAAGCTAAATCYTGACAATATTTTCAAAACCAGCACTAATCCAGCTGTATCCAGAGCTACAGATGAGAATCCGAGGAAGGGGCAAGACCAGCAGAGGGGAAGCTGAGCCCACCTACCACTGGGATGGATGAGGATCTCCACGGGTCTGTCAAAGGTGTGCTTGTTGGCCAGAGTGATCACGATGCTCTTGGCGGAGCGAGCCAAGGGGTCGGCGTCTGCTCGGATCTCGTGGGTGGGGCTCTCAACTCCTGCCCAGGGATTGAGGATGGGGAAGAGAAGGGAGATGACAAAGTGGCAGAGGACAGGAACCAACGTTAGCATCAGCCCTGTATTGTAAATCCACCCCAACACGGTTAAGTTGCCAGCACAGATTTACACTGAGGAGGAGGAGTGTGGCCATCGCCTTGAGGAGGTGACAAACCAGCCWCGTGCAGCAGGACAGCCCTGGTGTTCCTACCTGCCAGCAAACACGGCCCTCGGATCTCCAGGTGGAAGCTGAACTCATACTCAAAGGGGTTGGTAGCCTCATAGTCCAGCAGCTGAGCCAGSCAGAACCTGCTCCCTGGCTCCAGGCTCCCCAGTCCGCAGAGGTGTTTATCCCTGCTGGTGACATAAATCCCAATAAACCCTGGGAACTTGTTCTACCCCCAGGAACTGCAGGTCTGCCTGAGGTACAGCCTGAGGCCAYTCTCCAGCCTCCTGCAGCTCCACTCAGCCAGCCCTACGTTCCCCAGGAGYAATCCCAGCCAGAGCCCAGCCTGTGGTTTTGCGTACGTTCGGAGCTGGTGGCTGCTGGAAAGGCTGCTGGCATTCTCCAGGYTGGGCTGGGGGACCCTGGGGACACACACAGCTGGCAGAAGGACCCTCACTGCCCCACTGGGCAGTGTCTGCAGCTCAGAGGAGGTGCTGATGAAGATGGAGACACTTTCCAGGGGAGGAATCATGCCCAGGTTGGCCACAAAAACRATCCTCTCCAGGTCCTCATCCATCATGATCCTTCCTGCACAGAGAGGACCACGCCAGGTGTTGCAACCATGGAAAATGTTCCTTTCCAGGCCTCCCACAAGCCCCAGCCCTGGATCAAACACCCAAAGCCACCCCCTCTGCACACATCAGCTTTCTCTAAAGAGCCCCAGCTTCTGCATCATTCCTTTGGCTGCCCAGGAGCAGCAGCGCTTTCCAAGATGGATAAAACTGACATTTCTGGCAGGGAGATGAGCACCACAAACCCTCAGCCTCCCAAAAGGAGCCCCCACAGTGCCAGGGCATGCTCCAGCCAGCCACCCCCATCACATCCCCATTCTCCTTCCCCTCCTTTTCTCCCCACATTCCCTAAAACACCCTCAACCCCCTCACCRCTTCCATCACCAGCTCTTCCATGGAGGAGGCTGCAGCTGTCRAAGTAGGTGTCATCGATCTTGGCTTTGTCTTTGATCTGCACTGTCACYGTGCGCCGTGACACGGCCGCCTCGAAGCCCACAACAGCAGTGCCCTCATCCAAGGGGTACACAAAGAGACCTGCCAGCCAGGAGGGATGTTAGCAACACCCACCACTTCCCTGGACCCACCAGCCACTTCCCTCTTGGCACTACCCAAGTGGGAAAAATCCYACTTGTGGGATTTTTCACACCTAAAAGTTGTGGACTTGGATACAATACACTTGGTTGTGCTTCCCACCAGCATCTAAAGGTTTAAGGCATGCAGAGAAACCCAATACTGCCATATCCTGGCTCTAAAGTTCCCATTCCAAGCTTCACTCCTTGAAACTTGCCTTCCAAAGCCTGTGGGTCTGGGTTGTGGTAGGTGAGCAGGGCTGTCATCCCAAAGGCATAGCCACTGACACAGGATGTCACCTCGGACGCGATGAGGGGCAGGCGGGAGAGGGTCACMCGGTTAATCAACCCTGGCATCTTCCCAGGGATCTGTGGGTGATGGTGGGGAGCTGGAGAGAGAAAGGAGACAATGGATGTGGAGCCCCGAGTGCCCAAAATGTTTGCAGGGTTGTACCAGCTTACTCTGAAGCCCTGAGGACAGAAAGGTCAGTGACATGGGACAGGACGAGACCTGGGTTTGATGTGTGCAGTGGTGGGGATGCAGTGAGAACCTGCTGGGAAGATACATGGAAAACCCTTGTCCCAAATCCCCACTGGCACAAGGGAGGAGGTTCAGATCAAACCTCCCTGGTTGGGAACAGACAGCCCCGGAGGTCCACACTCCCACACTGCTGCAGTCTGGGCACAACAGGTTAACATCATTTTCTGTCCCTCTTTCTCCTCACTACCCTCCAAACCAACAACTTTCTCCAGATAAGACCATGATCATGAGAGTTTTCCTTTATCCTGGGGAAGGAAGAGCAGGCAGGCAGAGCGAGGCATCCTCCTGCCCTCCCCCTGCCCTTGCCCATCCTCATCCTCGCTGATTTCGGGGAGGTGCCACCGCTCTGCTGTCCTGCATCACCGGATCCTTCCTGCATGGGCTGACTCATCCCTCCCTGTGCTCAGCCGACACATTCAGATGCAAAGTGACTCTTTCTGCCGATTACATTCCAACTCTTTTCCCTGAGCAGTTTTTCCTCCGTTCCAGTTCCTCTTCCCCAAGCCTCAGGGTTTCAAAGGAGGCCTYTCAGGTGGATTTTAGGGTCACATCCCACTCCCCCGAGGAACCGGGAGGAGTTGCTAGGCAGCAGTTCTCCCTGGCTGGCTCTRCAATGCTTTATGCAGTGATTTACRAGGCCCTGGAGGAGCCAGCAGCACTGAAATGCATCAGTTTCTCATTCCCTACCAGCCCTGCGTTATTAAAACCCACCTTTATATGCAAATGCCACAGAAGACATCAAGGCCATGAGCTCGGGCMAGAAAAAGGCATTAAGAAAGGAAAAAGGGAGGGCTGGGGAGAGCAAGAAGGGTTGTCCGGGAGAGAGGAGAACAGCCGGGAAACCAAGCAAAGGAAAGAGCAGCGAAGATGATGATGGAGGGCAGTAATCCCAAGGCACGCCCCTGAAACCCGGCCAGAAACTCGGCCATTCCCGATTTAATCCACCTCTCCYTCCACCATGAGCGCTGCTCACAGCAGGAGCTGCACAGGGAGGTGGGGGATGAATCCCGGGGGATGGACAGGAATCCTGCCTGAGCCAGGGGAGGCCATCCCACACTGGGGTGCTCCGAGCTGTGCCAACAGGGCCTGGCAAGGTTCACCTGCCCCAGGGAGAGATAATGAAGGTCCCCTCACTGGGAGATGTGGCAGAGACCATCGAGGGAAGGGATTAAATGCCACGTGGGGGAGGAAGRAGGGGGAATTATTTCACCTCAGGGAAGAAATAATAATGGGAAGATGCTCTTTACCAACTTGGCACAACAGGAATTCACTGCAGGGTGCCAGAGGGGTGAATTTGGGCTCCAGGACTGTGACTTCAGCTTGGGAGTGGGGACTTAGGGCAGAGCCGTGAGTGAAATCCAAACCACTCACATCTCCTGCACCCATGGGATACTGGGGACAGAGCTTCCATGGGAACCACTCTGCCAGCAGGGATTTCTGCAGCACCTGGGCCAGGACAAGCACTAAGGGACCCTTGGTGGGATGCAGAGCCCTGGGCCATGTCCTGTTTAAGGCGGCCAGGAAAGTTGAACCTCTCCTGCAGCTCCGAGGCAGCTCAGAGGAGCCTGGCACAGCCCTTACTGCTGTGTCAGTGAAAAAATCGGCCCCACAAGGACAGGGATGGCTTAGAGGGCTCTTCCCGGCAAAAACCCTTCGAAAGGGGGCGCTGCCAGCAGAGCCATGGGGCTGCTCCGCACAGCTCGTGTCACCAACGCCATCAAGTGACTTCAGCATGCAAAGGGAGAGCASTGGAGAGGCTGGAGTGAGGGAGAGCAGTGCGAAGGCTGGAATCTCTCTCCTGTGCCTCACAAGAGCTCAGGAGCGGCCCCTTGCCTGCTCCCCATCCCGCCTTAGCTGCTCCAGGACATGCAGTCRGTCACAGGGTGGGACTGTGACTGATGGCACCTGGCAGGACCCTGCATCCCAAAACAATTATCTACAGCTTGATGCTGCACGGGGCATCCCYACACCCACCCATCCTCAGCATGGCCCTCACTGCCACCGAACGTGTCCTGCCTCCCGCACAGGACAGGTGTGGGGCCATCCCACAGACCTGGCCAGGTGCCTCCCRACCTCACACTGCATCTGGCATTGCAGGAAAAAGGGAAACCACTGGTTAACACTTTTCACACCAGGAAAAAGGGAAACTAACTKGTTAAACACTGGTTAGCCCTCAAAATATGCCTGTAATCTCAACAGCCAGGGAGCAGCTCAGGGCTGGGGACAGACACTGCCCCTTGGCCAGCCGYGCTCTGCACCTGGCACACCAGGCTGGATCGACTTTTTTCCCCTCTTCCTTTGTAAGCGCTCTTTCCTTGACAATGCCCTGCTCTTCCTGGCCACGGAACAGAGAGAGACACGGAAATGTGATCACCCCACTTCAGGCAAAACCCTCGGCCAATTCCTGTGCCCGACTGACGGGGAAGGCGCTGATGCTGCTGCGACGTCTGTGGATGGTCCCGGTGACGCGCGGAGAGCGCAGCGCTGCGAGCCAGAGCACAGGCTCCAGCCCCTCCGCAGGACTGCAGCAGCCTGCCCCAGCACTCGGAAGAGGCTGGGACTGGCTTTGGGGGGATGGCAAAAGGTGTTAATGTGCCTGGAAATGGGGGTGGTGCCTGGAGCGCTGCCCGGAGCTCCCTGGGTGTCCGTCTGTGTCTGTAAGCACTGATATGCCCTCAAAAAATCTGTCTGAGCACGTGGAGTAAAGACAGGGGCAGACTCATGCTACTCTGAGGTGTGTTTTCATGCCTTGAATAGGAAAATAGAGCAAACTGTGAGCACACAGCCTGGCTTGTGCCAGCACCCRGCTCCCAGGAGAGGGTTGGGGGTCMSGGCTRTACCAMACYACAGRGTCTGTGCCATCYGCAGCCGAGAACAGGACAGGGAGAGCCAAAGCAGGAGCTGCTGGAAAGGCTGCTGGCATTCTCCAGGCTGGGCTGGGGGACCCTGGGGACACACACAGCTGGCAGAAGGACCCTCACYGCCCCGCTGGGCAGTGTCTGCAGCTCAGAGGAGGTGCTGATGAAGATGGAGATGCTTTCCAGGGGAGGMATCATGCCCAGGTTGGCCACAAAAACAATCCTCTCCAGGTCCTCATCCATCATGATCCTTCCTGCACAGAGARGATCATGCCAGGTGTTGCAACCATGGAAAATGCTCCAGGGCCCCAGCCAGCCCTGCTGCCTGAAGGGCAGATACCAGGGCTATTCCTTTGGCTGCTTCAGCCCCCAGGACAGGAGGTAGCCGTGTGAAGCCCAGCCCTGGTGCCACACCTTGTGTCAGATGCATTTTTGGGCTGCTGAATCGCTGCCCCACCCTGCTGTAACCTCTGACCGGCCCCAAACGGGTTCCCTTGGAGATTTCGCCTCCAGGTCCAAACCAGACCTGGGGCACATCCCCACTGTTGGGAGGATGCCCGGTTTTCTGCAGCTGGGTAAAATATTGCTTCCACGTCGTCTGTCTCAATCAACACTGACATCCAGTGGCTCGCCGGATGACGACAGTCGGAGCGCCCTGCGGAGACGGACGGGTGGACAGACCTGGCCAAGGATGCCTGTTGCACCACAGCTGTCCATCAGCACTCCCAGGCAATCACCACGGGGAGGCAAACTCCCCCATTTGCAAATCCAAGACAGGAGAAGTCCTGTGTTTCCCAAACTTCCAGGGCTTTCAAGTAGAGTCACACTTGGGAATCCTCCCTGKTTTTCAGGGGCAGCAGGACTCAGGGAGCAGATGTGGACACACTGCTGAGGGACCCCTGACTTCACCTGCCTGACCCACATCACYGCAGACCATGACTAAGACATGCAGGACCCCTCCACCCACTTTCTCCCAAAGCATGAGGCTCAAACCTGGCATGGGAACTGGGATCAAGCCCCAGAATAATGAGGAAATTATGTTTGAAAGAGCACAGGCAGCASTGTCCTGACTGGAAGATTCATGGATCCACCGTGGCAGACCTGTGGGATACTCTCAGGAAAAGCCACAGGAACGGTTCTCCCATCTCCAGCTTCCCCTTGCCTCAAACTCTGCAAGCAGAGTATCCCACTTGATGGAAAACCAGGCAAACAGCCAATGCAGGCCTTCCAAAAGGTGACAACATGGCCCCCCACTGCCACAGCAGTGACAAGGATTGCTGGCCCCAAGGATACCCTGAGGCCTCAGAAATTGGGATTGGGGAAAGGTTGGGAAGCAGCTGCTCCTGCCAGAGCCCCATGGAAGCAGCCGGGTCCCCCTTCCTAAGGTGACAGTGCCAGGCTGGGGCATGAATGACAGCCCTGGCAGAGACAGATTTTGGGGACTGTCAGCCATAGCCCTGGCAGGTGTCTTGGACCACCAGCCTGGCCCCAGAGTTGGGTCTTAAAGACCTGGATTCATGTCCTAAGCCACTTCCTGGAGCTGTCAATCAATTAATCACACACTTCTATCACAGGGTTTAGTTAACCCCCACCTTGCCAGGCTCACAGCTACGGGGAGATCCCTGGGCTGAGCCAGAGAGAGGGTGTTGGCCCAGACACCCCTCAGCTGGGCTAAACCTGCTTCCTGCTCGGGATGCATCTGGATCCAAGGAGACACACRGGGCCCCCAGGAGCAGCACAGCCCTTCTCCATCCACCCCTGTCCTGCCCTGCCCCAGCCAKTGTGGTGGATTCCAGCCAGGTCTCAGTGGTTTGACCCTTAACAGGGGGATCAGCCCCTCCTCACCCTGCCAAGGTCACTCCTCTTTCCCCAAACAGTGTGTCCACAGATGGGTTATCCCACCTGGCTGCCCAGGACAGCTAGAGCCCGTCACCCCCAGCATCATCCCCCCATCCATCCCTGTCCTCTGCCTGCAAGGACACAAAGACAG